AAATTGAATATTTTATTAAGGAACATTTTTTTCTAGGTTATAATTATAATAATTATGGAATACTACTACAAATTTTATTAAAAATTACTACAATTTGTATGAATGTTTACTATTTATTGTGTAAAATTTTCGTATTTATTTTCATAAAACGCAATACATTTTTAATATAAATTCATACAATGAATAGCAAAAATTATAACAATTTGTAGAACAATTTTTATGATGCATTTGGATCTTTTACTAAATATTGTAGATAACTCTACAATACATTCTCCACAAATATTTGGAAATTTTTACTACAAATTGTCCCTGTCCCTATATGTACTATTTATTGTAGAGAAAAAATCTACAATTGTAGAAATTTGTTCTACAATTTTTTTCCGTGTAGATGTCAGTCCTATGGACATACGAAAACTTATTTTGCTAGACCATATGAATGCATTAAATGCGGAGGAGATCACAAATAAATCGTATGCGAACGAATAGACGGAATTTAACAAAGGTACGGGAGCCACGAAACGCTTTAAAAAAAAAATCGGCGTCAAAATCTATTTGACGGTTTCCATGAAAACCGCGAAAAACCTCAAAAAATTGCACGAAAATAACGCAAAATTCCTATCAATCCCTTTTCAGAGATTTGGGTGCACTATAGAAGTGAGTATGCATAAGCGGCAGACGCTTAAGAGATCGTAGGTAACTGATAAGAAGAAATTTTTTGTCTCCCGTCAATTATCACTTTTTTATGACGTTTTGAAAATTTCTTTATCCTTTTTCGACGGTTTATTACAAATTAATAATTCTTTTAGAATTTTTTTTAACACCCTTTGTCACTCTTTAACTCACCACGCACACGGATTTTTTGTCGGGCGCTATTTTTTTTCGGACAAATTTTGTTAGAGAGATTTCAGGACGTAACAACCCGTCAGCGTCCCCGAAGGGGTCACTGCACAATATATAATCACTTTTTGTATGTTTTCATCATGTCCGCGACCCCTACTAATTCTATTGAAATATTTCCCTTTACTTCTTTTTTTTTTTAGAGGAAGTAACAGGTGTTACGACTTTTACTTCCTCTAAATGATCAAAAATAGTGTAACATAATGATATTTACACATAAAATAAACCCAGTATATTTTGAATATATTATGGGGGGAGACTACTTAAATAGAATTAATGAAGTTAAAGATTTGAGAGTGAGGTATGATTCAACTACATTTGCAGAGCACTTTAAAAAGAATTGCAAGAAAGCAAATAAATCTTTAGGATTTGTTATAAGAAGTTCTAGAGAATTATTTATTGTTTTGGCATTTACTTGATGAAAATCCATTGTATCTTGAATGAGTAAAACCAAATTTGGTAGATTTTCACAAAAGTATTGTGAAAATCTACCAAATTTGGTTTTACTCATTCAAGAAGTTCAAGAGAATTTTCTAATATAAACATTATATTTTACTTTAGTGTAACCTATTTTAGATTTTGCTTCTATTATTTGGCATTCACAGCCGTATAATTTTTTGAGTAAAATTAAGAAAATACAATACAATACAAATACTAAGATATTTGTATTTTAAAGAACATAATATATGGACCGATTATAATACAGGGTGTATCAACGATGCGTGGGTGAACGATAGCTGCTTCCCTATATGAGATAGGAAAAAATGCTTCAAATAAAAGTTGTAGAGGGCATTGAAAGCTACGTTCCAAAAATAACTACCAATATACAGGGTGTCCGATAAATGTATGAGTTATCGAAGTAATGTTTTTTTAAAGGAAACACCCTATATATTTTTACTCGATTAAATTTCTTTGGAAGAGTGTTTCTCAAAAATATAGGGTTGTATGGGTTTATACTGGGTGGTTGGGAATTTATGGTGGGATTTAGGTAACAAAATGGGTTTATTCAACATCAAATATCTCTAAATCAATAAATTGGAATAAATTTTTTTTTCTGCCGAATTTTCTCGAAAATAGTGTTTTTTCATTTCCTATTCTTCATTTTACCGAATGGCGCTTTCCCATACAGGGGCAACCAAAACTCGGGACCATTTTTTTCTCAGTTTTTTCAAATGGAACACCCTGTAAATGAGGCCATACCAGGATAGCCCATACCATGAGCTTTCAGAAAATGTACGGTTTGTCTACTTGATTTTTATCGGAAATGTATCTAATTCTTAAGGAAAGTATAAAAAAGTCATAAAAGCAATAACTATTTATTTATTTCATTCGAAAAAGCATAAATTCACATCAAATGTTCGAATAATCTCCCATTTTGAGCTATGCACAAATTAAGTCTATCTACATTTGCTCTTCTAACTTCAATTAAAGTTGATTTTGTAATAGAGTGAAAAACTTCTCTAATTCTATTCTTCATGTCTTCTGGTGTCGTTGGTTTTTCGCGGTAGACCTCTCCTTTAACATATCCCCAGAGATAGAAATGTAGAGGCGTGAGGTCTGGAGACCTTGCTGGCCACTGAATGGGTCCGTTTCTTCCTATCCATTTATTACTGCGCCATCTGTTTAAAAACCATCTTACCTGATTTTGATTGTGAAAAGGCGCGCCATCATGTTGGTAATATAACCTGAGTCTGGTGTCAATAGGTACATCCTCCAACAAAATTGGTAAATGATCTCGGAGAAAATCTCTGTAAATTTCCCCATTCAGTGGACCATCAAAGAAATGTGGTCCTATGACCTGATCCCCAATTATGCCCCCGCAAACATTTATCGACCATATATTTTGGTAATCAATTTCTCTGACCCAATGTGGATTCTCTGTTGAGTGGTAGTGGCAATTGTGTCTATTTACTATTCCATTACTTTTAAATGTTGACTCGTCACTAAACAAAATGCATTTTAGAAAATTTGGTTCCTCGCGAATGAAATTCAATATATTTTCGCAATAGCGAACGCTGGTGTCATAATCCCTTTCATAAAGTTCTTGATGTAATTCAATTCGGTATGGATGAAGTTTATTTTTTATCAATATTCTGTTCACGGAAGTGTGACTTATATCCAGCTCTCTTGCAATTTCCCTCGTACTTACATGAGGATTATCTACTGTTGAAAGGATCACCGCTAATTCATTTTCTTCATTTGTTGCAATTTTGTTTACTACTTGCCTTTTCTCGTACTTGACACTGCCTGTTTCGTCAAAACTTTCTTTATACCTCCGAAAAGTCTCTGGTCGTATAGACCTTGAATCAGGGTATCGAACTGCATACATTCTACTGGCTAATAAACAATTTCTATCACACTCACCCAAAATGTAGATCATATTTATCATTTCCTCGGAGGATAATTTCATTTTGAAGCGAAAAATCATTAAATTTCAACTATAAATTATTATCCTCCTCGATAATTAAATATCAAATTCATATAACGTTCAAATGTTTCAAGGGTGATTTGATTTTTCGCTGTATTACAAGATCAACTTTAATGAAAGTTCGAAGAGCAATTGTAGATATGATTAATTCGGGCATAGCTTAAAATGTGAGATTGTTTAAACATTAGCTGTGAAAATACGCTTTTTTAAATAATTGTTCGTTTATAATAAATAAATAGTTATTGCTTTTATAACTTTTTTATACTTTCCTTAAGAATTAGATACATTTCCGATAAAAATCAAGTAGGCAAACCCTACATTTTCTGAAAAATCATAGTATGGGCTATCCTGGTATGGCCTCATTTACAGGGTGTTCCATTTGAAAAAACTGTGAAAAAAGTGGTCCCGAGTTTTGGTTGCCCCTGTATGGGAAAAGCGCCATTTGGTAAAATTATGAATAGGAAATGAAAATACACTACTTTCGAGAATATTCGGCAGAAAAAAAATTTATTCCAAATTATTGATTTAGAGATATTTGATGTTGAATAAACCCATTTTGTTACCTAAATCCCACCATAAATTCCTAACCACCCAGTATAAACCCATACAACCCTATATTTTTGAGAAACACTCTTCCAAAGAAATTTAATCGAGTAAAAATATATAGGGTGTTTCCTTTAAAAAAACAATACTTCGATAACTCATACATTTATCGGACACCCTGTATATTGGTAGTTATTTTTGGAACGTAGCTTTCAATGCCATCTACAACTTTTATTTGAAGCATTTTTTCCTGTCTCATATAGGGAAGCAGCTATCGTTCACCCACGCATCGTTGATACACCCTGTATAACAAGGACAACGCATTTAAGGAGCACCTTTTAAAATTAATTCTCTTAGCTTAAAAAGAAATGTAAATATGTTTTTATATAGAATAATAAACTCGGAAATTATTGATCCAAATATATTAAGTATCATAAGCTTTAATGTGCCTCGATACGGTGCTCGACATTTTCAAACTTTCAGAGTTTCGTTCTATTCTTTGTCATCCATCGCCCGATCTCCTCTACCAACTATGCTTGGACTTGCAAATGAAGTAAGTTCCTTAACAGAATTCCTTAACCCTATGATTATTTAAGAAAATTGTTAATGACAATTTGAATTAATTTACCGATATACCTATGATTGTATAAATTTCTTTTAGTGTTTAATAAACAATAATTATGTATTGGATATGATTGTATATTTGTATTAAGTATTCCATGTAATTAGACTTGAAGCCTGTTTGGGATAAATAAATAAATAAATAAATACTTACATTATTTGGAATAAACTGCCTTACATGTAAGTCGTTCGTTATTTCAAATATTTTTTCATTTGTTTGCTGGCAGAAGAGTTGTAAAGGGAAGGAGTGTATTTTTTGTACCCGTACGTGTGTCAAAACACGAATCGTTATAGATCTTACACTTGATATATCTAAAAACTTTATTAGAGATAAAACAGCTGCCTGTTTCTATAATAAATCTAATCGACGCTACTGAAGTCACGGAAAACTTAAGATTCAATTTAACATTTTTACATGCTACGTTTAATTTTAATTGTTTCTGGAGAAGGAATAAATACACAAAAAATTACTTAAAATCGAAAATTTTATCTTAGGTAAAAAAATGTACATTTCTAATACTGCTCATAACTAATAAATAAATAAATCTAAATATATACAAAGTTTCACTGCACTGTGTCCTAATATACATATCCACCATTACTGGCATAACCTTGACCGCCTCCGCCACCGTTTCCGCCGCCATTTCCGCCTCCAAATCCACCACCGCCTCCGCCTCCAAATCCACCGCCGCCTCCGAATCCACCACCACCTCCTCCTCCGAAACCTCCGCCATTACCGTTTGAAGGAGCTCCGTAAGAAGAGCTAGGCGGTGCTGCTGGTGGAGCACCATATGACGAACTTGGTGGAGCACCGTATGACGAACTTGGTGGAGCTGCTGGTGGAGCACCGTATGAAGAACTTGGTGGAGCACCGTATGAAGAACTTGGTGGAGCTGCTGGTGGGGCGCCGTATGATGAACTCGGAGGTCCAGATGGTGGAGCTCCGTACGATGAACTTGGTGGTGCGGCTGGTGGGGCACCTATAAAGAGGTAAGTTTGAATTATTTATTTATAAATTAAATATTTTTTACAAACAAAATTACGTATTTCTAATTGGGAACAAACGAGTTAGAGTTTCTATTAGGATTACTAATAATGAAGAAGATGATTATAAAAACAATAAAATTAACTAGACAATGAAATATATTTTAAAGAAAGAGAAAATAAGGGAAAAATGGATTCTTTGGGGGTTGGGTTAGGTTAGGTTATATACTAAAAGTCCTATTTTGCTCGGATGCCTGAAAACATGTATTTAGGAAAGATTATTATCAAGATACATACCATACGATGAGCTTGGTGGCCCTGAAGGTGGAGGTCCATACGAATTGCTTGGTGGGGCAGCTGGTGGAGCTCCATAAGAAGAACTTGGCGGCCCTGATGCTGGAGGTCCGTACGAACTGGGTGGTGGTCTTGCTGGACCAACTGGAGTACCATAACTAGTTGATGGAGGTAAGTAACCACCTGCTCCTCCGCCGTTGCCATTCCCATTACCATGACCGTTTCCATGGCCGTTGCCATTACCATTACGTCCTAAAAAATCAATAATATTATATATTTTTTAATTGCATTAAGAAATATAGAAATGCATGGAACATAGTGAGTTTGGTGCAATCCTTTATTGTGTTGTCTTCTAAACAGAGAGAATAATATTTTGAATAATTATTAGTACCGTTTTTACCATTTCCATTTTTGCCTCTACCGTTTCCGTTTCCATTTCCATTGGGGGCTCCATAACTGGAAGATGGTGGTGCACCATATGAGGAAGGTGGGGGAGGTGGAGGAGCTGCAGGTGGCGCACCATAAGAAGAAGGTGGAGGAGCTGCTGGTGGTGCACCATAAGAGGAAGAAGGTGGAGCTGCTAGTGGAGCACCATAAGAGGATGGGGGAGCTGCTGGTGGTGCACCGTAAGAGGATGAAGGAGCTGCTGGTGGTGCACCGTAGGAGGAAGGAGGAGGAGCTGCTGGTGGTGCTCCATAAGACGAAGGAGGAGGAGCTGCCGGTGGCGCACCGTAAGAAGATGGCGGTGGTGCTGCAGGTGGGGCGCCATAGCCTCCTCCGTTACCGTTTCCCCCTCCGTTGCCATTACCTCCTCCATTGCCGTTACCTACATGTAAATTTATTATCAGCCTATTTTTAACTTTTTTATCTGTCGTAACTGTAGGAATACATTCGTTTGTATAGGACTATATCAAGAATAATACTTGCGTATTGAGGTCGGAAACAGAATAGAAGTGCAAAAATGTATTTGTGCGTTTTATCGTGCCCTGAAAGGTAAACATCATGTTAACAACTAATTCTTCTTAATTTCTTCTTTCTTCTCTTTTTCAAAATTTTCTGATAGGAACAAATGGTTGTTTAGCAATTAAAGTTCCAGAATTGACCCCATTAATTTATTTGTTTCTATATAATTATAAAAATATATAATAAATAGTATATTTTAACTTATTTTTGAGTGTTTTAAGGTGGATTCTAGAAACATAATAAAAATAAATACATTACCATATCCTCCTCCAAAACTGCTTCCTCCTCCACGACTTCTGCCCCTACCACCGCCTCCAAACCTGGGTGCGCCATAAGAGGAAGAAGGTGGTGCTCCGTAAGAACTTGACGGAGGTGCACCGTAAGAGCTTGAAGGTGGTGCACCATAAGAACTTGAGGGAGGTGCACTATAAGAGTTTGACGGTGGTGCGCCGTACGAGCTTGACGGTGGTGCGCCGTATGAACTTGAAGGAGGTGCACCGTATGAACTTGAAGGTGGTGCACCGTAAGAGCTTGAAGGAGGTGCGCCGTAAGAAGATGAAGGCCTTCGTCTAGGTGCGCCATATGAACTCGAGGGAGGTGCTTGAGGTGCCCCATAAGAACTGGATGGTGGTGCGCCGTACGAGCTTGATGGAGGTGCTTGAGGTGCTCCGTAAGAACTTGATGGTGGTGCGCCGTACGAATTTGATGGTGGTGCTTGAGGTGCCCCATAAGAACGTGATGGTGGTGCACCGTAGGAGCCTGATGGTGGTGCTTGAGGTGCTCCATAAGAACCTGACGGTGGTGCTTGAGGTGCGCCGTAAGAACTTGATGGCGGTGCACCGTATGAGCTTGAGGGCGGTGCTGGAGGTGCGCCATAAGAACTTGATGGCGGTGCACCGTACGAGCTCGAGGGCGGTGCTGGTGGTGCGCCGTAAGAACTTGAAGGTGGTGCACCATAACTAGAAGATATACCTCCGCCAAATCCTCGACCTTAGAAAATAAAATAGATGCAAGCTGCTTGCGTGTGGATTTACAGCAATAGAAAATAATGCAAAATTGTTGAAGCTTGTGGTGTTTGTAGCGTTGTAAAGCTATATCATAGTGCAAAAGGCCTAATTTTAAAAACCCTGGTATTTTTGAAATGCAGTGTATTTTTTCTTTGCGATGTATTGATAAGCATAGTTCAAAATATATATTTAAATAAGTAAAAATTAGTTTTTTTTACCCACTGTCTTATATATGTATATTGTGTTAATACCAAAGGAAATCCAGCTAACAGCTCAATGTTTACATTTAATATTGCAGGAACTGTAATGGCTATAAAATATTCAAATTATTTGACTTCCCTATATATTTCTTTTAATTTAAAGGGCAAGAATTAAATTTCAGATTTTATTAATAACACTGAATTACATTGACAGGATATTCTTACCATTTCCTCCGCCTCCTCCGAAACCATTTCCTCCGCCTCCAAAACCACCGCCTCCACCACCTCCGAAACCTCCTCCACCACCTAGTGGAGCTCCGTAACTTGAGGAAGGAGGAGACGGGGGAGCGCCATAGAGATCCGCAGGTACACCACCCGGTGGACCTCCACGTGGATAACCGCCACCTGGGAGTGGTGCTAAACATTAAAATACTATTAGAATAAAATAATAATAAAATAAATATATAGGTTTATGATGAGGTAATGTCGACAATGTATTAAATAAAATATCAATACTATTATTTTTAGTGAACTATTATTTCAGAATCCAAGGATTACATAATTAAAATCTTACGAAATGGAGGCTTTTCGAAATATATAACTTCTGGTAACTAATGATGAAATACTATTAAGGCCTTTATAAGATTTATGTGTAATTGATTCTATCAGTAACTCTGTAACACTTATTTTGAATTCCAAACACTTCATAGCCATCTCTATTTTTTTTGTCGTCTCTTTACAATATCCAGGAATTTGCAAAACCAAGATCAAAGAAATGAAAAATTGTCTTCATGGTCACTTCTACCTTTCATTCTGTAATAGTTTATAATTCAGTCAATAAAATCTATCCCACCCATGCATTTATTGTATTTTTTAACAATATTTGGTCGTGGAACTTCAACAGATTTCATGTCATACCACTGCATAATATTTATAAATTCGTCAGAGCGTACATCATGTTTCGAAGAAATATGGCCCAGTCGAGACACGGTCTTGTCAGATGTTAATTGTACATTTTTCGGGACTCTGGATCTCATAATTGTTTCTGTAAAGAATACATTGTTTTCCAGCATGTATTAAAGTAATAGAATAGTAGTAAAATGTCGATTCACTCTTCTGAAAGAGTGTGCGGGAATATCCTTACGACAGCAGAAGGTCCAACGCCTAATTTTGAAGATTCGGATTGCAAAATTTTTCCTAGATAAGTCCATTTGCAGTAACAAAAGTTTTTCAATTCCACTACTTGGTTTACTCCACACAAATTGTTCCATGTGACAAATGCCGGTAAAGGAAATCATTTACTCATCAATTGCGACGTCATCGTACCTAGGGAGCGACAGACATTGGATTTGTTCATTTAAAGGGCGAATTTTAGAAAGTTTATCTTCTTTTCTGAGTGTTTTAGATACATCTTAATGTGATATTATTTATGACAATAAAACTGAGATACCAAAAAATTCAATTGTAGATATATTCATAGGTGTTTCTATTTCTAATAAATGTTTAACATTTAAATCACCTAAATAAACTCGAATTTAATCCCCGAACTTCCACTGTTCCCTCTCTTGAAACGTTGGATCTGTAAATATAAATTCGAAATTTAGTGGAACAAATGTGCCCATCTTCTTCTACCTTTTGTGTTTATCGTTTGCAGCAGACTCTTTTTGATCAACGAGTTTCTTTTTAATTTATTTAGTGGCTCATTTTCTGAATCCTCTTCGGTTGGTTCTTGTTCATCTGGCTCAGGTATATCCTGCTCAGGCAGATCAGATTCATTATTATCTTCTCCACCAATTTCTATAATTCTTTTTTTCTAAATTAAAGTTCTCCAAGTATTCCAACTTATCCCCAGGTTGTAGTTGTAGAAATATGTCGCTTCAAGTCAATTTTTATAAAAGCTACATATTGATTATTAAACTGTAAACATTCCGGCGATCGGCAAGGCTACGTTTGATGGTAAATATTGATATTTACTAAGTTATTGTTGGGTATTTTTAGTTATTTTGGTATTTTAGACCCTAACTTATATTTACCAACACTCTCATTAGCCTAGACTAGCTTTTGTTTTATTTTTTAGCCAAAAACAGCCACGACCATTTTGTTGGATATTGGGTCGCTATATCTACAAAAAATTAGTAACTGATATATTTTTCTGTAGCAATATACAGGGAGTCTGTAAAAGGTTTTTACAAAAACATACCACATATTCCTTAGACCAAAATAAGTCGATTTAAGTAAAATTACCTTAGTACAAAGTTGCCTCGTTTGGACTCCAGAGGGCCTTGAAGTTACAATTTTTAAATCGTTTTTACCATATAAATTTAAAACGGCATATGCGATTTTGCTGAAATTTGGTATATTCGTAGAGTTTTATGTGGCAAAAAAATGGTATTAAAATTTTGTCCGATAATAATACATAGGCATAGAACTTGATTTTTTAAATAATTGCACCTTTAAAAATTCTACGCCAATGGAAGAAAAGGAGTTTTAGTATAAAATTTAGATTGCGCAACTCATTTACTTTAAAAAAGGTACTTTTGATAAGACTCGATTACTCTCATGGTTTTCGCTAAATTTCTGTTTTAATAATTTAGAGTGTATAGGTTTCACAAAAATATTTATTTACAACATAATCAAAATAGAGATTTTACAAAAATTGTTCAAAATGTTCACCATTTTCACGCATACAAAGATTTATACGTCGAAGAAAATTAAAATGTATCCTCTCCATAACTTCTTCATCACCTCTAAGATTGTTTATTGCATCTTGAATACGTTGCCAGAATTGTTCTTCATTTTCTACAGGTTCCCTGTAAACTGTGGATTTCAGATGTTCCCATAAAAAGTAAGTCATCGGTGTTAGGTCTGGGGAACATGGTGGGCAGTTTACAGGTGCGTCATTACCTCTGCCTATCCATTTGTGTGGATATTGTTGATTCAAGTGGTTTTTAACGTTTAAAGAAAAATGTGGTGGAGCTCCATCTTGCATAAATCACATATCTCTCCGAAGTTGGAGATGTAAATCTTCTAACAATTCTGGCAACGTATTTTGTAGAAAATCCAAATAATGTTCTCCAGTTAATCTTCGTGGAAGTATAACAGGACCAACAATGAAATTACCAATTATTCCATTATTAATTTTGAATTCGTGCTGAAAATGGTTTACCTTTATTGCATGCGGATTTTCAACGGCATAAACATGTTCATTATGGGTATTAGTTATATCTCTTCTTGTAAAACCCGCTTCATCGGTAAAGAGAACCTTCTTGACAAAGTTTGGATCTCTTTCTCTTTGCATATTAACAAATCGACAAAAACCCAAACGAATTTGAGGATCATGGACTAATAATTCTTGTACTGACTTCTTATGGTATGGATATAGCAATTGTTCTCTAAGTACTTTATGAACGACATCTTTACTTACTCCTAGTTCCCTTCCAATTCGTCTGGTGCTTAATTCTGGATCTTCTTCAACACGTTCTAAAATATCTTCTTCAACTTCAGGAATCCTTACAAAACGTTCTCTTCCATTATCAACAGTGTTGGGAGCAAAGGAACCGGTCTCCCGAAGACGTGTCTCAATAGCAGCAAAAGTTGGGTGGCTAGGTACACGACGATTTGGAAACCTTTCAGAGTACACCCTGACACTCTCTCACTCTCACAAAATCCTAATGTCAGTAACATATCGGTATATTCTGCATTGGTATATTGTACAGCCATATTAATAAACCACGCATTTGTTTTTTTAATTATTGAGTCAGATAGAACACTTTCAATCGTTAACACGAGATTAGGTGTTAAAACTTGACAATATTTTTATTTAGTGAAAATATGGAAACCAACAATAAATGTTTTTGTATACGTATTGCAGGCAAATAATTAATATTCCTCAAAAAATCGTACATGGCAAGAATCGAGTATTTTTGTTAAAAGTCTCGATTAGAGGTGTTGAAGAAGATATGAAAAAAGTACATTTTTATGTTTTTCATCGTATAAAATTTTGTGCGATAATAATACATAGGCGTAGAACTTGATTTTTTAAATAATTGCACCTTTAAAAATTCTACGCCAAAGGCAGAAAAGGGGTTTGAGTATGAAATTTGGATTGGGTACTCATTTACTACAAAAAAGTACCTTTGATAACACTCGATTTAGTCTCATGGTTTTGACAAAGTTTTTATTTAAATAATTATTGTTTATGTTCTAAAATTACTAAAATGCAAATTTCGTCAAAACCATGAGAGTAATCGAGTCTTATCAAGAGTACCTTTTTTAAAGTAAATGAGTTGCGCAATTTAAATTTCATACTGAAACTCATTTTCTTCCATTGGCGTACAATTTTTAAAAGTGCAATTATTTAAAAAATCAAGTTCTACGCCTATGTATTATTGTCGGACAAAATTTTAAAATACCAATTTTTTTGCCACTTAAAACTCTACCAATTTTTATGGGAAAAACGATTTAAAAATTGTAACTTCAAGGCCCTCTGGAGCCCAAACGAAGCAACTTTGTACTGAAGTAATTTTACTTAAATCGACTTATTTTGGGCTAAGGAATATGTGGTATGTTTTTGTAAAGACCTTTTACAGACTCCCTGTATATTGCTACAGAAAAATATATCAGTTGCTAATTTTTTGTAGATATAGCGACCCAATATCCAACAAAATGGTCGTGGCTGTTTTTGGCTAAAAAATAAAACAAAAGCTAGTCTAGGCTAATGAGAGTGTTGGTAAATATAAGTTAGGGTCTAAAATACCAAAATAACTAAAAATACCCAACAATAACTTAGTAAATCTCAATATTTACCATCAAACGTAGCCTTGCCGATCGCCGGAATGTTTGCAGTTTAATAATCAATATGTAGCTTTCATAAAAATTGACTTGAAGCGACATATTTCTAATAAGGTGGTTGACCAAATTAAACGAAATGTCCATCTGGAGCCGGGACTCCTGAGAATATATACTTATCAAATGAAATGCCACTTGGACTTATGAAACATTGGATATTACAGCTTAACCCAAGCAAGTGGTCTTTTATACAGAGTGTCGCAAATGTCTGCACCATATCATATTGTTGATTTCTCATTGTCTTGATAAAACTTAGTGTATGACTCAAAACCCAATATTAACTTTATAAATATTAAAAATCTTGTAATAAATACGATATTATTTGTCTAAATTAATATTCACGTAATTTTTAAAAGCCTATATGATAGTTTTTAGTAAAAACAAAATAATCTTTTTACGCAGATTTAAAAACCACAGTACAATACTTCACATAAATACACATACGAGTATATCTATTATACTCTTTGATGTAACAGTGTGAAATTCTTTATAATCTGCAGGAACATCAGTAATACCAAAAGTCATTTTGAAATATTTGTAAATAAAAATAGATATATAAATTTATTAGTGCATAGCCACGTGCCTCATGTTTCCATTGTTTTTGTTTAATGCGCTTTCAGCTACATCTGACTGAGCTAAAATTACATACTTTTCTCTAATTAGAAAAATAAAAACAGACGACTGCGACTGACGTAATTAGTTTCTCTAGTAATCGTAATGATTATATTCACATCAGAATGAAATTTTGTTTTGACTGGTAGATATATAAATTTCTCTGAAAATATTGTAATTATTGTTCATATAATATAAATGTTAAAAGAGAAACCCTTGATTTTTCTAATTATTTAAGAGTTATTGCTCTGTTCATAAGAACTAATTTGTCGACATATTCCTCTTATTATACCAATACCTTCAAATTTTCAGGAACCAATTGTTGAGCTGCATTTCTCTTATCGTAGGATAATGCCTCAGCAGATTTATTTAGTTATATGTGTGAATTAAAGATTTAAACATATTTAGTAAAATTTTGAGTCCAAAAAAGGAACTTTTAGTGAATTTAATATAATAGGATAGTGAGGTGAGGTTAAATATTTTTAAATTATAGATATAATATATCTGTTAGGAGAATAGGAAGAAAGGAAGACATTTATTTTTCCAAAAAAACGAAAATTCTATCAGTGTCTACAATGAAAACTCGATTAAAATTATTTGCAAGGACAATTTTAGATAATTACATATTATATGTATATTTATTTTAAATCAGGATTGACTATGAAAGTTTTAAATATTTTAGTATGTATAATATTCTTTAATATTATTTTTTTTTAAATAAAGATCGTGACTAATTTTCTTAACATGCAGTCCATTTTTCAAAATTATATACAAAGAGTGAAAATATATAAATATATAAAATATTTGTTTACATTATTCTAAGAACAAATAAATATAAAGGCAATTATTATTCAAAACGAAAAATAAGGATATATCCTTAAATATAAAGTTTATACAGTGCGTCCATAAAGTAACGCATAAATTCATTATTGGCTAAATGAACAATAAAATTAGGAATTCCCAAAACAGGTCGATTTTTGATTTCAATTTACTATTGTTTCAAATCATAATCTAATATACAGGGTGAACCACTTTCGTGTAATGACGTCATCACCATTTTTTTCAAATGGAACCCCCCCTTTTTTTTCAATTTCCAAATTGCCTTTGCTGACTGAGCTGATTCCAAAAATGTATAATATGTTGCTTCAAATTGGTACAGGGTGGGCAAAAATGCAAAAAAAATAGGAAAATTGTTTATGGAAAGTAATACGTTACTGAATGTAATAAACAAATTAAATGGAATTATGTAGTTATGCAATTAATGTGATACACTTCCAAAAACAAACAAACGAACGAAAATTTACAATAAATGTTCAAATTGTTCTCCATTGACCGTT